GTATTTATCTTGTAGTCGAAAATGAGCGTCCTGTCAATCCTTCACATACATTAACGCTTCCAAAACATCTTCTTTCAGTCGACTCCTGACATTAGTCAAAACCCTTTTACCTGCACTAAAAGCAGACTCCGAAGCAACAGTGCTAACTGGAGGTGTCAATAGATCTTTCGCAATTGCAGAAATAATTGGCCAACGTCTTTCATACTTTCGCCAGAATTCAATTACTTATTCTGAAGTTTTTTTAATTGTTCTGTCTGTTGGCATATTATGATTGAAATAATCAATTAATTCGGCAGGCATCACATTTTGAGTTTCGACTGATGTTTGATGAGATGCAGATGTAGACGACATGTCACTAGATGAACACATTGCAGTTGCATCATATCTAAATGTATTAATGCCTTGAAATAAATTCATTATTTCCGCAACATCTTCAATTTCAGCAGAAGGAGTAGGTGCAGCAGAGGGTACCCGACTAACATTTGCACCAATTCTTTCCGCATATTAATCATACATTCCACATAATGTTTGCTCTAAATTCTTATAGGTGATAGATGTATCAAGTATTAAAATTTTATTGATTTGATCAATTACGTATTTAGTTACCGAAATATTGTATCGGGGGTCCATTACGCATGCTAAAGGAAATAACATAGACAGTTCTTCCCAATATTTTCCAAACTTTAATTCCATAGTAATTAAAATTTCACTAAAAGCAGGATCATTTTTATATTTATGGAATGTTCTTGCAATTATATAAAGGCGTTCAAGCACCATACAGCTTGTGGGATAATAAACGCCGAATAAAATCTTTGTGGTCTCATAAAAAGATATCAAAAATCATTTGACTTTCAAATCTAAAATCCAATCGGATTCATTTAACATACTATCATCATCACTTCTAACATGTCTATTATTATAAAAGTCAGTTATTAAATTTTCGAAACCTTCACATGATTTTAATAGCAAGTATGTAGAGTTTCATCTATGACCTACGTCGCTAACAAATGTTTTAGCAGTCATCACCCCTAATTCGGCACAAAAATCTTCAAATGCTTATTTTCTACTAGGAGAGATCGTAATATATACTAATGTATTCATAATCCTTTGAAGTTCATCCTTTATATATTTTAAACCATCTTACACAATTAAATTCAAGATATGACACACACAAGGAATATGAAACAAATACCCACCAAAATCAGGTTGAAGTGTCCTACACAATTTATCGACGACTACCTTATTAACGCTAGCATTGTCAAAAGTAAAAGATCGAATTTTACTTTCACAATGATATTCTTTAACAATACTGATAATAGCATTATATATATTATTAGCATTGTAAGGAAATTCAATAATTCTAAAAGCAATAATTTTTTATGCATGCACCAAAATGGGTCTATATAGTGTGCGGTTGCAGCTATATATGCTCTTTTATTAACCCCTTCCCATATATCAGAAATTAAGAATATAACACCCCCATATTGTTGCAAATCCATAATTAATTGTTATTTTGAATTATTGAAATAATTTATTGTATCGGCACGAAAAGTGTTTCGACTTACCCCAACGTACCTCGATTGTAGATATTCTTTCACGAACGAGACGAAGTGTTGGTTGTCTGCAATAGCCAGATGCAACTCAGTGGCGGCAACAAATTTCACCATTCCGGTTCGAGTCTCGTCCTCCGAATACACCCATGTGGATAGGGGTGAAATTGTAGAACCGGCGCCTGAACTGCTAAATTGTAACTGTGTTTGACCAGCTGGAAGAAGTCCATGTCTGGCTGCACATGATTTGTAGTGGCGGTTGAGATGAGTGGTTCCAATTCCTTTTTGCCATGCCAATCTTTGTTGGCAGTATTTACATATTGCTTTAGATTCTGCAAGGCCATCAACGACTTTTCCCGTTGAAATCAACTAAAAGTGATCACAACATTTTGCTTGTTTTTTGGCCTTTCGCTTTCCCCTCGCATCTGGGATATTTAATTGCTGATCTTCATCTTCATGTTTCGCTTCGGGAACGTTAATATCATCCAAATCAATTGGAGTGGGCTTCCCTGACCGTGAATGTGAACATCTTTAGGTATCGGTATGTCATTTAGACCGGCAAATTCATTTAAAAATTGACTTTGCGGCGTCCTAGGCGATTCTCCATGATGTGACAATGGGTCACATCCTGTATCAAACAAGCTCTCAACAAATGAACGTTGTTCCATTTCTGTAATTGTTTATGATGAAATCTTGACTAGATGAATATAAATATAGTGAGATTGTGAGAATTGAGAATTGGATAAATTGAAATTGTAACTAATAAACTGGAAAAATTGAATTGATATTGTATATTTTGCAGTATAAGAGAGTAAAAACTCGATAATTGATATAATAAAAGAGAGTTGAGAGAGTTGTAATTTTGGAAGAGCAATTGATATGAAAAAAATCTTTGGGAGAAGGAGGTATTTATAGTAAAAAAATGGGGGGAAAAAAAGAATAAAAAAAGTTCAATGACCGTTTTGGTCACAGGCTCACGAGCCATGAGCCCGGCTCGTGGCTCATCGAGCCCACGAGCGGCTCGTGGGCCATGCTTGTGGGCTCGGCCGGCGGCTCACGAGCCTGAGCCGCGCACGAGCCTCTTTTCCATGAGCCGAGCCGACGAGCCGCGAGCCGGCTCGCCCCAATTGACATCCCTAAATAAAGATCTCCTCTGCGCATTGCACTCTCTTTTCATCTAATGTGCGCACATATTATGTTCAAGACAGAGAAAAGAATACTCCTTTCATTTCAAGTTAATAAACTCCTGGTTGACGCAAGAAAGCACCACTCTTGTGAAATGGACCAGAAGAACACATTTCAATTCAACCTCAACAAAATTCATCACACGGATGAGAAACAGCATAAATATTTAGACTTCAATAATTCTGGATATGTAATATTTTAGTATCGTGAATACAAGTAATAAAATTATCCAGTACAAGTACCAAATAAAAAATTTCTAATGCAAGGATAGGAATTTGCTTAATCATGCAAATTACTAACATATAAACCTTCAAAATTCAAATACCAGGTCCATGCAATGTTATTGGAGACGAGAACTTCACATTGAACTCAACACCACGAATATGTTCCTGCATTCTTGAGAGTTACCCGTATGGAGATGGAGATGCATAGCCAGACAGAAATCTAACACAACTAAAAGTATAGTACCCTAAATCCCTGTTCATTCTCAACTCCCCAAAGAAAGGAAAATATTAGGCAATTTTAAAGTTGTCCCGGACACAACATGAGCTTGGTAGCTACATGGAGTTTACGTATGAGGTCAAAGTTCTGCTTACATGCAGTGTTATCATCCAACGAGGATGTCGAGAGGCTGCTAACCGTCTACAAGAATTTTCTAGTGAAAGAACAAATTTAGGTGTAATGTCTATGTCAATAAGAGATGAAAATAACATTGTGATGAAAATCTTAATAAATATTCAGTTGAAAAATTGCCAAGAAAATAATTTTTATTATTTAATCCTTTTTAATTAAGGTTTCAACTATAAAAAGGAGTAGGAGTAGGGTATTTCTCCTCTCCGGAGTCCCCAAAAAAATAAAAAAAATAAAAAAAATCGTCTCTTCTTGCCCCTTTTCCCCTTCTTCTACAATTCTGCTACAAGTATAATATTTGTCGTGTGCTTCTGGATCACAATCCTAGAAAAATAATGCACTCCTTTAGTTTTAGTAAAACGTATTCAAGATGTAAAGACTGACAAATCTAACAAACAGCATGACCTGAAAACTGCCCGAGCAACAGAGAATATAGAATCCCAAATAGATTATTGTCTGCATCATAACTCTCTGAAGTCTAATGCCTCTGATATGAGGCAAAGAACTGAAGCCCTAGAGCACAATACAGCTGCCCTCTCTCTCTCCACACAATTCTTTGCCCCCAAGTTCAAACATTACCACCTTATAACACAATTCGACAACTTACAAAGACAGCAAAGTTTCACTTGAGTAATGAGAGAGATTTTAGTGAAATGCTTGATCCACCTTGTACTCAAGTAAAACAACAACAGCAATGCAGGTTAAGCCTCGATTCTAACAAATTTGAAATTGGCTTTCCCGGCATCTATCAAAACATCCAATGAAATCAAATCTTTTTGAACCATATCGAAACTTTAGTCTTAACTTGTGTATATACTGGTTCTGAGCAGAAATTTTGTCAACTTCTTCAATTCTAATATGGTCATAGATAGATTAGAGCCATATATATGATTAGACCATCGATGACCTGTCTGACAAAGGAAGAGCCATGCCTAGTCTTTAGTGTCAAGGCCGAAGCATGTTTGGGCCTCTTTGTTAATTACTGAGCCTGTCACGGGCAATGTCAGGGAACTATGCCAAGCCTATTGACATGCCGGTCAACAAGTAACTTCCCTATATCCAATATTAGTCTGCAATGTACCCAGGTGTAATGCATTTGATGGTCCCATATTTAGGATGATGGTGCACATTATAGCACCTCAAACACTCAGAAGAGAGAAGGGGAAGGAAGAAATGAAGACTACTAAATTTGATGCTCAAAATTCCTTTCCCGACCTTTCAGTTTACACCCAAATTTTGAAGCACAAATCTATTTCGTATACAATTCGTCTTTACCATATTGATCCAAACGCCAGCCCAAACAGTGTACACACCAGAGAGCATAAAAAGCTAAAAGGAATTGCACGCACCCCAGGGCAGAAAAAAAATTAAGTAAAGGAAAGAAGTCAAACAACAAAGCTGAATATTGTTAAGACTTTGACCACCAAACAATAAGCAACAATAGGAAATAGAACATATTTCAGAACACCATAATATATTGCTGAAATCACATGCTCTGTCCTGCCTTATAGCATAAGACCATAGTTTCAATCACATCTCATTTCAATATTCCTAAAGACAAATGACACAAAGAAAGCGCGATACTAAGTTACATATTAAGCAAAGGATAATAACAGCTTTTAGGCACAATCATTACTTCAACAAGAAAAATTATTCAATTTGCAGTAATTAATTAAACTGTGACTCGACTTACTCAAACATTAACTAATAAGCAATTGATACAAAAAGGCTTACAGAAAAATGAAATAGAAACATAATATTAAGTAGAATAACAAAAAGTACCTCACACTCCAACCCACCATCGCATCTGGGAACAAACGAACTTTTAAACCCTCTCGATTTTTTGAAAATCAGAGTCGAGTGAAATGAGTTGAACTTGCTTAAAACCGTCTCCTTCCTTAAATACCCTGATTGTTCATTAAAAACATAATTAACAAACAGCAACTGAAAACCTACCACCCAAAACAATAATTATAAAGCCTTTATCAAAAACCTTGAACAAAAAATTAAAACTTCGGTACATGAAACATCACTATACTATAACCACAAACGGGCTTCTACTACAAAAAGTCATAGCTCATTTCCTTTACTCTTCACTCCAGCTCTTTCGTTATCCACTTTCTGTGCAAAAATTTTGGTCGCCAACATATTATCATCAAAATATCTGGCATAAGTGTGCTCCTTAGGAACCAATCTCCTATACTTCTCAAAATTCTTCTCTGCCTCCCCATTTTTCCTCAACAGGGTATAGATTATGCCCTGACACAGATATGGTCTAAAATCCCTTGGCTCTTCTCTCACCAACTCCTCATATACCTTCAAGGCCTCATCGTAGTTCCCCTCGATCACACGGATTTGAGCAAATAAGAGCTTGAAATCCCTTAAATCGCTTTTCCTATTCTCCTTTTTACATAATTTCATCGCCTCCTCCACCTTCTTCTCAATTTTCTCCAATTCCTCGCTTGACTCCTCTTGAGAAGCTGCTGTCACCAGACCATGATACGCCTCCACACGAAAAGGATCAATTTTCAGCAGCTCATTAAACCCCCTCCTCGCCAATTCAATCTCTCCATTGTAAGCATGCAAATGGGCTTTCAACAATGGCCATTCACGTTCCTCCGGCTCAAGCTTTATTAATTTGTCAAGAATGACAATAGCTTCAGGAATCTTCTTACTCTTTATTTTGATTTCCATTAAATTCTTAAGTGCTCTGACATCATATGGATTAGAAGCCAATTCATCCTCGAGTGATTTCTCTCTTTCTTCCTCTGAAACGGTATCCTTCTCCGCTGTCTCAACAGTAGGCGGAGGTGAAACAGCCAAAGCTACAGCGGGTTTCAAACTGAAACATAATCCCGAAAAGAATAGAACAGAAGCAATAACAGTAGTAATAAACCCGGTTCTCAGTGACGACAAAAGGGGAATAAACGAATTTCGGGAAATAGGGTTCGAGGGGTAAATAAAAAAGCTGAAGAATTGCGAAGATTCATTAGAGTATTTCGGTTTTGGGATTCCAAATGCGGGTGGAGGAGGAGAATAGAAGGCGGCATTTGCCGGGGTTAAAGATAAAAGAGGGAGAACTGGAGGTGAATTTCTGAAAGAGAGGGGTCTGGAGCAAAATGAACGACGGGAATAGAGTGAGGGAATCAGCGGCAGGTGGCCGCGGGTGGTTTTACCCGCCGAAGGGATCAGAGTGGACATACTCAGGGAGAGAGTTAAACCCTAGTGACAAATTAGGGGCTAGAGAGAGAGACAGAGTTGAACTCCTGGTGATAATGATGGAGGGTTTAGAGCGAAGAAGGTAACGAGAGCGAGAGTTTGTGTTAACTGTTCCAATAGTCTAACTTATTTCTATGTCTAATTATTCACTGAAATTTAAGATATCAAATTATGACCATTTAATTTAGAAGAATGTCGGATGTCATTTACAATATTTGCTTAAAACCTTTAACAAAATTGTTTACATGGCTGATGGAATATACGTGCGACATTCCATCACGTTATTAAACTTTGAGACGATTGAATTTTTGTTACTAAATTTTGAAAAACGTATTCAATTGCTAAATTTTGACAACTATAAAAAAAATGTCTCTGGTTGCTCAATAACTTTGAAAAACATCTTTTATTATTCTCTGAATTTTGAGCTGGTCGAATTTTGGATATTGAACTTTGAAAAATATCTTCTATTCTTCACAATAATTATATCGTTAAATAAAATTCGTCATTAAAATTTTAATTTAATTTAATTCTAACTATTGTGTGTTTTTTTGTAAAATTCAAATATTAAAATTTAGATTTAATTTTAATAACTAATTTATTGTATATTTCGTTGCAATTAGTAGTTACTTCCTTTGGACAGCTTTATAAACGTTGTTTAGGGGTGTAAGTGGTCCGATTTTATCGATTTTTGACAGATTTTCAAACTAAACCGTTTAAACCGGTTTGAAAAAAATCCAAACATAAACCAAACCATTTTGAATGATTTGGAAAAAAACTCAAACTTAAACCTAACGGTTTGATCCGATTTTAAACTATCGATTTCGTTATATATTTTTTTGTCTACTTTTATGTCATTAATTCATTGAATTCAATATATATTTATATCTTACTAGCAATAAATCTAAAAAAAACTAAACCCCTATTTGAACCAAATTTTTGGAACAAAAAAAATGAAAATTTGGACCATTATCCCACAAGTCCATCCGCCTTTGTTGATCTATTGTTTCATGTGTGGGATCTAGTCTCCTCTCCAACGATCAATTTTTTGGTTATGATGATATGAAAAATATGGCTCAAACAGAGGTTAAATATATCTACTATAAATTTAAATACCAATTAAATCAAAGAAAAATTACAATAAACTAAAACATAGTTTTTTTCATTTTTGTTCACCTTTTTTAGGTTAATGACGATATAATAACTTTACAATATAAGTCTACTAAATTAGATATAAGGCTCAAAAAATAAAATGATGTCCGATAAGACATCGTGATCATCATATCTGAAAAAAAGATACTGATTAAACAAAGAGAATAACCAACCACAATAATAAATTAATTGTTTATAATATCCAAATATAACAATTACACAAGTTACGTTTGTATGATGTTATGAAACACATTTAATTTTAGATTCTTACCTTAGTTTGTTCCAAAAAATTATTGATCTGAAACTTTATTCGTAGCAAATATTATCACCGAATGTTTAGGAGCTCTTTGTCTCCGATTTAGTGTAATAGACTACTATTCAACTTTGAACAGGCGTGAAAAATCTGAAAAAGAAGTGTGTGGTGCCGGCGGCTTAAGACTGTGTTAGATGTCAGCTGGAGTTCATTTAAATTCTGAAGATGAAAATGACTTTTGATAGATTATGTTAGTCTTGAGATTATTAGATATATATTAGGATTATTGGATAATAATAATAATAATAATATATTTGTATTAGAAAATTAGAAATTGACAAGAATACCCACAAATGAAACTATTGAATTTTACATATTTGAATGAAATTTCAAAAAAATTTCATTTTCTCATTTTTTATTTTTATATATTTTTTCACTGGTCCGATTTTGTTTTAAATCGCAATTAAAATTTTCAAACTTAAACCAAACCATTTTAACTGGTTTGATTTGGATCAAAACCATTTTGTTGACCAAGTCGACGTGGCACCAAACTGACGATTTCTAAAATGTGGTTTCGGTTTGACGATTTTTGCTTACAGCCCTGACGTTGTCTATCATAATATTTGAATTTTGCAACAAAATATACAATAAATTTATTTTTAAAAATAAATTAGATCTAAATTTTAATATTCGAAGTTTACTACGAAATACATAATAAACATTTGTTTGATAGAGATTAAAATAAAAAATTTAGCAAATTTTGATAAAAGTTGATGAAATGTGTAATTGAAAAGTTGTGAATTCCATTAAACATATGATTAAAATTAATTGTTAACTTTGAATTTGATAAAAATCTAAATTTTAATTTCTACCAAACATTGGCTAAATTGGTTGTTAGAATTTAATTAAATTCAAATTTTAATCCAAAATTTAACAACAAATATTAATTAAATTCAAATTTATTATGAACAAAAAAAACGTTTTTCAAAGTACAGTGGTTAAACTTCGACAATCTTAAAATTTAGTGATCAAAATTCGATTACCTAAAAGTTTAGTGAGCAATAGAAGCTTTTTTCAAAATTTAGTGAGTGATTAAAGATTTTTTCAAAGTTTAGTGGTCAAAATTTGACCATTTCAGAGTTTAGTGGCTGAAAATTTGATCATTTTAAAATTTAGTATGCAATAAGAGATATTTTTTAAAGTTTAGTGAGCAATCGAAACCGTTTTCCAAAATTTAGCGATCAAATTCAATCGTCTCAAAGTATAACAGTGTGAAAAGAAGCCAAGTGTGCATTCCGTCAGTTACGTTACCAATTCTGTTAGAAATTTTAAATGGATATTATCCAGCGAGTAATGTCTAACATTTTTTAAAGTTTAGAGAACAAAACTTGACATTTAAAACTTTAGCGAGCAATTAAAAACATAGAAATAACTTCAGTGACCATTGGGACAATGAACTCTGAAAGTGATGGAGTGAAGATCATTAAATATCCTGATCCGACTCGGATGTGAGGACATAATTTTATAACAATATTTTCAGTTTTCGTCCCTAGCCTTCAGAGAGTGCATTCGTCGTTGGTGTTCTTTCCGATCTCTAAACATTTCACCGCTCCATTGGAAAATCCCTCTGCCCTTACTGTACTGGAGCTTGGTAGTTTCCATCGCCTATCTAGGATTGAGCCGGAATAGGGCTATATACATTCTCAAAGGGTCATTCGAGCGTAATTAAATAGATACTATATTTACATATAGATCCCTACGTCGTTCCATTCCACTTAGGGGGGATCACTTGTAGGAATGACATAATGCTAATACATGTTCTACACAACCAAGGAAGCATCAATTTTTAATCTCGGTCATTCGGAAGAACATTTTTCTCGATCAGAATAGTAGAATGGAAGGAGTTCAAATTTCTTTAAATTTCTTTTAGCATAATTAATCCCCAACCTTTTAATTATGGCTGATTAGCGCGTTACTGCTTACCTTTGAGACCAATTATATAAACTCTTCCCACTTTTCAGAATCATTGAAAAACATCCTTATATGAAATTTGAAGTGTGTTTTATCCATTGTCTTCCATTTCTCAATAAAACCTATGGAATAAGCAATATAGCTTCCTATTTAGGGGTGTTTGGAAGTAATTTTTCACCCTAAAAAATTGATTTTTTTTATCGTTAATTCAATATTTCAGTTGTAATTTGTCACTTTTCTCTTACATGTGATCCTCACTTTTTTTCTTAACGGTCAAAAAATCAATTATCAAAATCCCTATCGAATAGGGCCTTAAATAAACCAAGAAAAAATGGAAAAAATGTAAAAAAATAAAGAACTAATTATAATTATAATATCAAAATTTTTTAAAAAGTACAAATGAATCCTAAATAAATTATTAAAAATTAGGAAAAAAAAAATCCTTTACCATTTCTCCTACCCTCTTCCCACCTACAGATTAGTAACTAAAACTCAACATATTAAAATCTAGTGAGCAATCAAACACGTTACCTAAGTTTAGGGAGCATTGGAACAATTAACACCCAATTCCGGAATTTCTCCTCGGGCAAAACCCTAGTGCAGCCTATCAATTTCCCTCTCCCACCAATTTTGTTTCGCTCGGCGTTTGCGTGTTGCGTGTGGCAAGTTCCGGTTCCAAATGGCCCCAGCTAAAGGTGAGCATTTTCGCAGCTATGGATTTTAGGTTCATAATCTTTTCTAGCATTTAAATGCAGTGAGATTCATATATACATTTGAGAAATTGTGCACATTCTATTCACTCCTTTAGTAGTTTTGTTAGTATCTTTCCTTGTATATAAACGGTGGATATTGTACAAATTTATTTTATTCAAAATTTTTACGACTTGAAAGTATTTTTCAAGAATTTGTGATTTTTGCAGCAATAGTTTTTGCTATCTGGCCTTACTAATGTGGGGGTGCTCGAAGTACCATTAACATGTTGGAATAATTAATAATTCCATATGTGAGCTTCACATTCGATTGCAAAATTTTACGGGTTAGATATATGACTCATAATGATAATTGTGTTTGGGTCAAATTTATTAAGTGATCAATTGGGCATTTTACACCTTACGGGTTGTAATTAATTTGATGTGGTAATTTAAAGTATGTGGGTAAGAAATAAACTCTAATTAGAATCCTAATCATAATGGGACGGCTCAATTATTTCCTATATAAAGGTTAGATCCCCACTCCTCTCGATATATGTTTCATTAGCTTGTCCCATTGATAGCTAATACTTTTGTGAAGAGCAAGGAGAGGAAAATCTTGACTGCTATTACAACAATTATTCATATCAACAATGACTTTCGCAGGTATGAATTCGTTTTATTAATTTATTATGTGGTGATTCTTGATTCTTGACATGATTACAAATAAATATTATTAATTGGTATCAGAGCATTAATGCTAAGATAAAAAAATCCTACATAAAACTAATATTCTTTCTGTAATTTTTGACCGAATAATTACAAAGTTTTTACTGCCCCACATGGTAACCAATAACACGCATGTCCTCACTTTGATTTTCAAACAACTACTCCTCTTTTGGAAACTGCATCAATTAATGCTCTCTCTCTGTCTCTAACTTTCTCTCACTATATATATATATATATATATATCTCTGCAAGACCCACATGATTTCTCACTTCTTCAAGGTCTCTCTCTGTATGTGTTTGC